AAATAAATATTCTAAGATCTAAATTCATATAAAAATGATATTTGGAAACAATAATTAAAAACCAGTAAGGTGTTTATTTCTGTTGTCTTCTTTACACCTCGAAAATATTACTATTGCAATTATCACAGGTATAAGTACAGATGCAGTAATAATTACGATTAAGATGTGAAGCAATATAGGAAATGTTTGATTGTTTCTGTTTAACGTTTTTACCCATTTATAATTTAGTGTATCAAAAATATAAACATTGTTATTTAAAATTTCTTTATTTGCAAAGGTAAATCGTCCTATAAAATAAAAATACAGTATAAAAGACCTATTTTAAAAATTTTATAAAGAATGTTCATATAAATTATATATATAAATTATATAATTACCTAATGTGATTATCATAAAATCATCATACAATATTGCGGAATGACATGTAAGTGATGGTGATGGTGCGACGTCAGAAGTAGAGTTCTTAAGAATTATCCATTTAAATTGATAATTAATAATATCCAATACTGCTAGATCAGGCGTTGCTATAATGGCCAGGTTTGTAGTCGAACCTCCGTATATGATAATTTTTGAATCTCGAGCTAGTAGGGACAGAATACAAAATTAATAAATTATTCGAATTCATTAATTAAAATGTGAAATATATATACTTAAAACAGATGAATGAAAGCTTCGCAATCCAATAGAATCACCATCAATAGCTGTCTATATGATTTGTAAATGTTATAAGTATTAGATAAGGAACTGTTTTTATAATTTTTATTGCTACATTATTACTTACAATATTATACCAGATAAAAGAGTTGGTGTCGAACATTTGAACCTGTGCTTGATTAATTAGATTAATTTAAAATTTTGTAAAAAATTTTAGGAAAAGAATAACTATAATACCTCATTCATGTTAATATAACCACTATAATTAGATGTTGAACGACCACCAATATAAGTGATATTTCCATTTTTTAAGTAAAGTAGCAGTATAGCCTATTCTTGAATAAGTAAGATTTAATGTTGACCACGACATATTATTTATGTAAAAAATGCTCATTCTATTACAAATAGGACCAGATAAGTTTTGCATTCCGCCATACAAAAAAACTCTTCCAGTATTATCAATAATAGATTG